GATGCTACTTTTGTAAATAAACATAAAAATCTTATGAAAAAGGTCTGGAGAGGATATAGGCCATCTGTGAGACTTTTATCCTTTTTTTTTTATGGTACTGGGGATTGAACTCAGGACGGGTACTCTACCACTTGAACCATGCCCCTAGCCCATCTGTGATTTTTATAGTCTTCTTTGTCTTATCTACACTTTTGAGATTTTTCTATAATAAGTAATATAATTTTATGCTTAGAAAATAGTAACAAAAGTTTTTTTTTTGGTGCCAGGGATGGCACCTAGGGCCTCAGATGTGTTAAGTACACATGCTCGCCACAGCCCAACAAAACTATTTTCTAAAGAACCAAATAAGAAAGTTATTTCTCCATTTTTTTCTCACAATGTGTTAAGGAAGATTTAAAAACAAGAAGCTATCTGTACTCATGAATTTGGCTCAACTGGTTCTAGAATAGTCCTCCCTCTCTCCTTCCTCCCTTTCTGTCATTCATGCCAGATGCTGTGACAGGAGCTGGGGATAAAGCTGTGGATAATGTAAGGCCGGCCTGCGCTCCGGCACACAGCAGGCCCGTGAAGAACTGTGTTGGAAGGATGAACCAATGGATGGACAGATGGGTGGGAGGATGGATACATGGATGGATGAGGCCACTAGCTAACTCCGGATGGATGGATGGATGCCTATTCCATCCCCAGGAGAATTTTGACTTTGGGATCTTGAGCCATTGCTCATTGCAGTGTAGAGTCTTGTCTACAGGAAACATCCCAGAGATGCCAGAGAGACTGTCCAAGGGAAGTGAAGCCAGTAGCAGCTGGAGATGTGGGTTCAGAAGTGCTTGGTAAGCAAGGAACAAGACTGTAAACAGGAAAGCTAGGGGCCAAGCTTTCTCAGGAAAAGAAGTCTAAACCCATGACCTGCATTTGCTCTGTGCCCACGGGTTACCCAAACAGGGACCTTGGTCTTTGTAGAAGCGGTCACAAGGACAGGCTTATCTCCTTGGCCATTGAGTGTAGTGTTCACAGCAGGGGCTTTGTGGTGTAAATGTCCTGTGTAATCTTGATGTTCAGATTCCTAAAGCTCACAGAACCTCAGAGTAACCAACTGCATGGCAACCCTTTGGAGACCATGTCAAAGGGTTATCATGAAAACCAGTGAGTCATGCGGGGTGCTGGTGGCTCACTCCTGTAATCCTAGCTCCTCAGGAGGCAGAGATCAGGAGAACTGCAGTTCAAAGCCAGCCTCGGGCAAATAGTTTGTAAGACCCTATCTTGAAAAATATCCAACCAAAAAAGGGCTGGTGGAGTGGCTCAAGTGGTAGAGCACCTGCCTAGCAAGCATGAAGCCCTGAGTTCAAACTCCAGTACAGAAAAAAAAAAACTCATTCTGGCCCATTTGAGATGGTAGAAACATCTAAAGGAAAATGCCCTCTTATCCTGTCATTTGAACATGGCATTTGAGTCATTTTCTTGCAGCAAGGTTACCAGCCTATGGCACCAGTTTCTGCCTTATAGTAGAAATATTTTCCAGCTGTGTGTGCATCTATAATTCTAGCACTTGGGAGGCTGAGGCACGAGGATCATAAGTTCGAGGCCAGCCTGGACTACATAGAAAGACTCTGTCTCTTAAAAAAGAAGAAATAGTTCCCATGATGACAATATTCTTCTCAAACACAACTTTTAATGTTATGTAACACCCAACCCTGTGTTTGTCACATAATAAATTGAATGCTTTCCTATTTGGGAATACTTGGGTTGTTCCCACTGCTGTGGCAATGCCCCTTCCTCTTTGATCTGCACAAGTAATAATATGACCTATAATAATATGACCTATGTGTCTGGCACTGTCTTGAATACCCACCGAATCCTGCAAGAACCCTGTCAGGCATTCATGGACTATTATTGTCCTGATTTACAGATGAGGAAACTGAGGTGCAGAGTAGTAGCTATTTCCTGTCAATGGAAGCCAGTCCTGAACATAAGAAAACTGAATCAAAGATGGCATGCATTTTAAAGGCCCTTCCAGAAAAGCCTGGCAGTTGCCAGTGACTACACCCACAGGTGGGCTTGGTTATGGACACAGGGCTCCCTGTGTGGCTGATGCTGTGGATGGAAGAATCGAGACTTGGGACACAGCCTTCCTCCTCCATTAGAGCACAGGTGATCTCCATCCTGGGACAGCTTCTTAAAGGCCGAGTGCCTGGTGACAGGGACAATGTGGCTATGTGGATGTTTGTGTGTTCCTCCCTCCCCCTTCTGAGAAGGATCTGGAACTTCTACTCTGGGCACGTGGCATAACCCTCCTGCTCTGTATCTTTGGTGGCCATGTGAGAGGACAAAACTGACCCTGGGGATGCCTTTTCCATGACCAGCAAATCCCACGGCACCAAATAACCAGGATTCCCTACGAACAGAGACCCGTGTAGTCTCCATGGGATGTGAGCTTGGTCTGCACAGTGGTCACAGACTGCTGCTCAATCGGTTGGAGCTGCTCTTGTATTCCCCTCCCACCCCCACACACACTAAATTGCTTCTAACCTCTCAGGGACAGTTCAAGCACCATCTCTTCCTGGAAGCCTTCCCTGATCTTCTAGACAGAAGCAACTGATTATCCCCAACACTTTCGTGGCTTGTGGCTTTTATTTAGCACAAATTCTATTTACGTCATATTGTAGCTAGCTGTTTGCATTCTTCTCATTTCGACTATGAATCTTTGAGAACAGGGTGGGCTTTGTAGTCACAGATAGAATGCAAATCCTGGCTCTCCCACATACACTGCCTGTGTGACTTTCAGGTAGTTACTCAACCACTCTGAGCTTAGTTTCTGCCTATGGATAGTGGGATAATAATCACCATCTTCTCACAGGGTGGTCATGAGACTAAGAGTAGGTGCAGAATACATGTTAGTGCTTGTAATTATTATCATTACAATTATAGCTGCTTATTCCTGCAATATCCAGCCTTGTACCTTTGCTCACCAAAGGCTTAATAAATATTTATTAGTAGTATTGTTACTATTGTAATTATTCAAGCAAAGCAAAGGGGTAGGGTGTGGCAGATGGAGGGGTGTGTCATGATCATAAGCTCTGCAGCGATTGGTTAGGTTCAAATTCTGCCTTGGCTACTCTCTAACTGAGTGTTTAATTTACTTGACCTTCTCTGACCCTCAGTGTCTTTGTCTTTAAAATAGATATGCAAAAAATAAAATAAAATAAAAAACAATAATATTAACAACAAAAGCACTAAGCAACATGGCACACACACCTGTAGTCTCAGCTGCTCGGGAGGCTGGTGCAGGAGGATCATGTAAACCCAGAAGTGGCAGGACCCCATCTGAAGGCAACGACCACAGTAAAATGGACATAATAAAAACACCAACCTAGGGAGTCCTTCCTCTAACTCAGGGAAGAAATTATTTTAACAAGCACCTATGCAATACTCAAAATGTAATTAAGTGCCCAACAAAAGATTTTATGATTTGTAGTAAACAGTCTCAGGCCTCTGGGAATTCTCTCTCTGCAGATCATCAAACGCTGTGACCTCATACTCCTGATGGAAATCAAGGACAGCAGCAACAAGATCTGTCCCATGCTGATGGAGAGGCTCAATGGGTAAAGAGGGTGAGGTGGGTGGAAATGGGTGGGCCACCGGAGGACTTAAGGTCCAGTGCAAAGTCAAGTGCCAGGGAACAGAAACCAGTGTGAAAGTCAGCACTGACTCTGACCTCCAGATCACATGACCAGCACTGACCAGGCTTCTGCCTCTCTTAGCCACAGTCCCAGGAACTTTCAACTGGCAGGATTTAGTAGAATAAAGTGAAAAACAGGGGAAGGAGGTGAGGAGTCGGATAGGATGAGAAATGAAAGCAAACAAGAGGCTGAGTGAAGAAGTCCTGTTATAAAGAAGAGTTCAAATGCAAATAACCAAAGGACCAATAAAATCACTATGTGCCCCAGGCTGAACTGTCATGCAGCTGTTAAAATCATGCCTACTGCAGATTAAGTTAGAGCTAAATATCCCAACATGGAAATATGGCTGCAATGGATTGCAAAGAGTGAGTTCAGAACTGTAGGCAGAGCAGCTCATTTAGTCACCATGTTACATTTTACATGAATAAGAATGGGGTGTGTTTGCCAGGCGCCAGTGGCTCATACCTGTAATCCTAGTTACTCAGGAGGATCACAGTTTAGGGCCAGCTGGGGCAAATAGTTCACGAAACCGCATCTCCAAAATAACCATAGCAAAATAGACCAGAGGCATGGTTCAAGTGGTAGAGTGCCTGCTTTGCAAGCATGAAGTCCTGAGTTCAAACCCCAATCCCACAGAAAAAAAATTTAAAAAAATGAACGGTGTGTTTGTGTCGGGTATACACAGAAGAAAAATAAGGTGGATGGGCTCCAAACTGTCAACAGTGGTTACTTCAGGGGGCGTGAGATTGAAGACCCATTGTGAAGCAGGTCAGGGAAAGAATAGGAACATTGCTTTTTATTTTAATACTTCTGTATGATTTGAATATTTTAAAATCAGTCCAAGTGATTTTGTAATTTAAAAATCAAGGAACTGGGCACAGTGGCTCACACATATAATCCCAGCTACTCAAGAGGCAGAGATCAGAGGGATCCCAGTTCTAGGCCAGACCAGGTGAAAAGTTCATAAGACACCGTATCAATCAAAAAGTTGGGCATGGTGGCTTGTGCCTGTAATCCCAGATATGTAGGAGGCCATAGGTAGGAGAATTGATGTCTGAGGTCTGCCAGGGCAAAACCACAACACCCTACCTGAAAAATAAAGCAAAAGAGAGTTGGAGGTGTGGCTCAAGTGGTAGAATGTCTGCCTAGCAAGTGCAAGGTCCTGAGTTTGAACCCCAGTACTATAGGAAAATAAAATAAAATAAAAACAAAAAAAGCACTGGGGCACCAGTGGCTCATGCCTGTAATCCTAGCTACTCAGGAGGCAGAGATCAGGAGGATTGAGGTTCGAAGCAAGCCCTGGCAAATAGTTCAAGAGACCCTATCTCAAAAAACCCAACACAAAAAAGGTGATTACAGGTAGAGTGGCTCAAGGTGTAGGATCTGAGTTCAAGCCCTTATACCGCAAAAAAAAACCCTCAAGTAGTTCTAAATGACCTTGGGTGATATTGATGACTTATATTCTTTCTGAATGAGTGACAGACTCACTGTGTCAGTTGGGTTTCCATCTGAGACAAAACACTTGCGATAAACAACTTATAAGGAGGAAAGATTTATTTTGGTTCAGTTTTAGAAGTTTCAGTCCTTGGTCAGCTGGCCTGTGGCTTTGGGCTGGTGGTAAAGCAGTGCCTCACGGTAGGAGCAGGTGGCAGAGGAGATCTGTTCACCTTTTGACAGCCAGGAAGGAAAGTGAGAAAAAGGCCCTAATGTCCCCTTCAAGGAATGTCCCCAATGACCTCACTTCCTCCCTCTAGGCTCTGCCTCTCAAAGGTTCTACCACCTCTTTGGTCACAGTCTTTAACACAAAAGCCTTTAGGGGGCATTTCTCCAAACCATGGCACCCACCCAACTGAAAAATCATGCAAGAGTGAGTTAAAATATATATTCATGCCCCCCACCATTGGCCGAGAATGCCTGTGAGAGGGAATCAGAGCTTTGTTCTTTGAGGAGGTCCTGGAACACTCTTGCCTCAGCCTGTCAGTGCTGGGATTACAGGTATGTCGTACTATACCTAGTGAAGATCTGAATTTCAACAAGTTCCTCGGTGATTCTGATGTGCTTTAATTTTTTATTTTAAAAACATTTTTCTTTGTGGTGCTGGAGATCAAACACTGGGCCTTGGGCACCCTAGACCAGGACTCTACTATTGACCTACCTGCTCCCAGCCTGATGTGCCTTAAAGTTTTAAATCCTCTAATCTAATGCTTATTTGATAGACAAATTATAAGACTAAGCAATAAGCTAGAGTTCACAGTGTGGGCCGTGTTGTTTCAATTATGTTTTTAAAAAATGTAAAAGAGTAAAAGCAAACACACCAACTTGACATTCACTCTCAGAGTTCACAGGTACAAGGAATTTAAGTAATTTTGTCTGCATCTTCTGTATTTTCCAATAAGAATGTTACAGCTCTCATTTTTCTTATGAAATATCACAAACATACTTAAAAGCACAAAGAAGATTCTAACCAACCGTCATATAGCCACCATCTCTCGATTTAACAGTCAGTCACATCTGGCCGTCACATCTAGACTTTGATAATTAGGAAAACTCACCTTGTCTTTAGCAATGGTTAGTTTGGACTCAGTAGGCTCTGGGCCTCAGTTTCTCATCTGAAAATTAAGTGTTGTAGCTAAGCTTGTTGTTTCTTTAGCCTCGGCAGAGTTCTGGTTCAGGATTTGAACTTTGAAAGGCAAAGATAGGGGTAGGAGTGTATCCTTGGCTTAGACCACCTGGTTTGGGATCTTGGCTATGCCATGATCTTGGGCAAGTTACTGGACTTCTTTGTGCCTCAATTTCCCCATCTGTAAAATGGGGCTAATGTAGAAGTTGTCTTCCTGGGATGTCAGGATAGGTTAATTAACTCATGTGCGTAAGAGGTTGACTGAGGCCTGGTGTGTAGCCATGATCAACGTGTGCTACTGGTGTGACCCTAGCTGCTTATAGGAAAGGAATTATAACGGCTGGTGGTGGCTCTGACACCAATACCCTAACTCCAAGCCAAGCATCCTGTCAATCACTTTATATGTACTACTTCACTTACTGCCCACAAGAAACGGTGGTGTAAGTACAGTTACTGCTTCCCTTGTAGCAGAGGGAACTGAGGCACAGAGAGGAATGACCTGTCCAAGGTCACCCAAACCAGAAATGACCAGGCCTACCTTTGCACTTGGGTCATGTCTGACTCTCAACCAGTGTTCTCTTCTTAGCCCAAGTTTTACTTGGAGTGAGTTTTGAGGAGTGGGGAGGACTACGGGGGACAGGTAGACTCTCGGTGTCTCCCTACTGTCAGACTGGGGCAAGTGGTGTCACCATTCGTGATCTCGATGCTCCCCAACCTGGCCAGACTGTGCCAAGGAGTCCAGGTCCTCATAGTCAGACCCTGGAGAGAGGGAGAGGAAGAAAAGACGGAGGGAGGAAAGGAAGGAAGAGAGGAAGGGAAAGAGGGAGGGAGGGAGGGAGGGAGGAAGGAAGGAAGGAAGGAAGTTGGATGGGAATGAAGCTCAGTAGGAGAGCACTAACCCAGATAGCATGCATGAGACCCTAAATTTGATCCCTAGCCCTGCAAAAGTAAAACACCGAAGGGACTGTAAAGATCCTGGCAGATGTCCCAGTTCCAGCCAATGGTGGCCCCTTATATTGAACTTGAAAGTTATAATGAGCAGAAGCCCTTCATGTGATGCTATTGGGAATATGGAGGCAGATAGATGCAGCAGGACATGTTTATTCTTTTTTTCTTTCTTTTTTTTCTTTTTTGCAGTACTGGGGTTTGAACTCAGAGCTTGGTGTTTGCTAGGCAAGCACTCTACCACTTGAGCCACTCTGCCAGCCCCACATATTCAATCTTTACAATGCAATGTGAAATATTTGTTTTCTAGAAATTCAAGGAGAGGCATAACATACAACTATGTGATTAGCTCTCGGCTTGGAAGAAACACATATAAAGAACAGTATGCCTTTGTCTACAAGTAAGTATAATCTGTGTGTCTGGTCCATCTAATTCTGTGACTATGAATTGCATCAAAATATGCATCTTTTCCTCAAAACCAGATTTTGATATCTAAGCAGTTCTCAATATCGATCAAAATCAACTGTCAAAATTGGTCCTGATGTAAAATATTAAATCTTCAAACTAGAAAACACAGCTTTCTCTGACACTTAAAGTGTTGCCCGGATCAGGAGTTCTTTATTCTTCATGGTCAAGTCTTGGCCCAGGGCTGAAATCTGAGTTGACGAGCCAAACTGACTATTGAACTTCATAGACTTACTGTTGTCCTACTAGTAATTTCAGTGTGAACCTTGACTTGTGTGTGCCTCAGATAACTAATGCAAACCAGAGTTCCAGCTCCCAAAAGGCTTGGCCATGGATAGGAGCTGACTCAGCCTAAAAGATCCTCCCAGCACTGAGGCTAAGGCAGCCATGGGAACCTACATCTCTCCTCTTTGAAGTAAGAAAACAACAGACTCAGCAGAGGGGACTTCCTTTTTCTCTTCTAGAGAGAAGCTGGTGTCTGTGAAGGAAAACTATCTCTACCATGACTACCAGGATGGAGATGCTGATGTGTTTTCCAGGGAACCCTTTGTGGTTTGGTTCCAGTCCCCCCACACTGGTGAGACACACAGACCTCCCTTGCCCATGACCTCCCCAGAGGCCCACTAAAGGGCAGCAGCCCTGAGTGTATGTGAGCAGCACTCCCAGGGCTCGTGTGGCATCTCCAGGTAGGCACTAGGCTGGGTTGACAGTGTGCTGCTTCCTCTAATGTCTGAAAAGAGAGGACACAGTGGAGTTTGATGAGACCAGGCCTGCTTCTCAGAGCCAACACGTAGGGTCTCCCCAGCCTGGATAACTCCAGGATCAGGGATAACTCCACTCTTATGGCAATTCCTTGGGTTAACTATTCCTTTTTTTTTTTTTTACTGGTGGCACAGGGCTTTGAATTAGGTGGGTGCTCTGTTATTTTGGAGGTAGGCTCCCGCTTTTTGTGAAGGCTGCTCTGGACCATGACTCACTGCTTTATACTTCCCCACCATCACTAGAATAACAGACACACACCACAACACCCAGCTTTTTTCTGTTGAGATAGGGGTCTCACAAACTTTTTTCCCAGGCTGGCCTGGAATCAAGATTCTTCTGATCTCAGCCTCCCAAGTTGCTAAAATTACAGGTGTGAGCTACCAATACCTGGTTTACTTTTGTGTGTGTGTATGTGTGTGAGTGTGTCGGCAGTACTGAGGTTTGAACTCAGGGCCTCACACTTGCTAAGCAGGTGCTCTACCACTTGAACCACTCCATCAACCCTTTTTTGTGTTGGGTATTTTTGAGATAACGTTTTGGGAACTACTTGCCCCTGCAGGCTTCAAAACATAATCCTCCCCAGTAGCTAGGATTACAGGCGTGAGCCACTGGCGCCCTGCACACCACCACTATTGATCCCTGATTAAGTGTCTGCTTCCTGTTATCCTTGCAACACATTACTAAATAGAGACTAGGATTGTCCCCCCTTGACATTTGAGAAAAATGAGGTTCAAAAGTGTACTTGTCCAGCTATTAAAGTAGTGAGCCAGGGTTTTAACCCAAGCCATCACCTCAGGGGCCCATGCTTTTAATCTCCACTTGGCACTCCATAGAAAGTAAAGAATTAGCTGGGCGTGGTGGCACACATCTGTAAATCCACCACTCAGGAGGTAGAGGTAGGAGGATAAGGAGTTCAAGGCCAACCTGTGCTCCTTAGGGAAACCACGTCTCAAATCTTTGCACACACACCCCATCCCCAGAAAAAAAAAGCTCAGTGGTAGAACACTTACCTAGCATACCCAAAGCCCTGTGTTCAAGCTCCAGCATCACAAAAAGACAAAGAAAAAGAAAGTCAAGTATTAAAATTGGCTTGCAGATTATAGCCACATAAAATCCAATTTTTTTTCAGTACCTGCTATGTGCCAGGTTCCGTTGCGGGGACTAGAGACAGACAGGGTCTCTGCCCTCATAAAGTTAGACTGTGGTAAGATATGCAGATTATGACTAGATAAATATATGCAGAGCAGCAGGTATATAGCCCTGTATCTATGCCTCGGCAGTATAGAATTGTGAACTTCCCAGGGTTAATGAGCTAGGGTGTGAGGACTTTAGGAAAACAAACATGGGAAAGAAGTGGGGGTCCCCAGAAGAAAAAGAGAAAGTGGAGGAGAGGTATTGGGTAAGAAATGCCCTTCAGTGGGCATTGCAGTAATTCTTTTTGTCATGTACACAGGTGACTTTTGGCTGAGCAGGAAAAGCCCTCTCCCCCAAATAATTATTCCTTCTTAAAGAGAGTCAAGCCTTCATGAATTGCTAAACAAACCTGTTTGTCCTGAGCCTCCTTCCTTCTACTCTTTCCTACCTTCCTGTCTCCCCTGGGATAGCACAGCCTGTTCTTGTACCACGAAGCCCATGTTCCCTTGACCTGGGATTAAAGATGAAAGAGTTAGCTATTTTACTTATTTGTTTATCTAACCATTCACTCATGTATTCAGTCAACAAATGTTTCTGAATACCTCCAATGTGCCAGGCACTGGGCTAGGTTCAGGAAGCATGAGGCGAGCAACACAAGTTGCCATGGTGGAACTCAGATTCTCTGGGCCAAACACAGAAGACAGTGATTTCAGAGCATGAAGGACGTGATAAGCAGGGAGCATAGGATAGTGGAGTGGAGGGTCCATCTTAAATGGGGTAACCAGGGCTGGTCCCTTGGCCAGTGCCAAGGGCTGTAACCTGATAAAGCCAGTCATACAGAAGGCTGGAGAAAGAGCCTTCCAGGCAGAGGACACAGCACAAAAGCTCAGAGATGGGAAAGGGATGGCCCTGGAGACAGACTGCCTGAGTCCTGACCCCCCACTATGTGACTTGAGCTGTGACCACTCCACAGCCCTCCACCCCTCCACCCCATGAGCTAGAAGTGGGATCCAGACAAAGACTGAGGGACCATCCCAGGAGGAGGGCTCAGAACCACAGCTGCTAGGAGGGCTAGCAAGAGGGCAAAGCAGAGTTCAGAGGTTCAGGCACACTTAGGAGCTCTCTGTACCCAGGGGATATGAAAACGCTGCAAAAGACCATCCTATTTTTAAAATGAATTTTGGGGGAAATCATTCTTTATTACAAAAGAAATACAACTGGCAAGCCTCCAATTTTTTTAATTAGAATTTTTTTCATCTTAGTTCAAGAGCCAACCACGTTATCTATCAGACTCCTAGGCCAGGTGACCTGACTCTGGGAGTCCCAACAAACTAGATCTGCCACCTGCCACCTGGAGGGTCCAATCAGAGAGACAAGCAGTGGTGAAGCAAGAAAGGAATTTTATTCTCAGTGTGGCCACACTGGGAGCAGGGAGATCAGCATCCTATGCCTGTCATCACAGATACTGACAAGACCTTGGGGATTATACAGGGAAGGAACAAAATAGGGTGAGGGCAGGAAGTATACATAGTAAGCAGTCTTGGTCACACTGAGATCTGGTTGCCTCCCTCTTCAAGGACCAGGGTAGTCATTATTGCTTGAGAAGGCATTTCAGTTCCTGTCATGAGATGATTTCTCCTGCTTAGGGAGGCAATCTTGGTTCCCATCACGGGGGAATCTACCTGCAAAGCTCGCTGTTCCTGGAATCTTTTCCTTTTTTCCCAGTACCTGAATTTGAACTCAGAGCCTCATACTTGCTAGGCAGATGCTCTACCACTTGAGCCACTCCACCAGCCCTATTCTATGTTGGATATTTTCAAGATAGGGTCTCCAGAGCTATTTTCCCAGACTGGCTTTGACTCTCAATCCTCCTGATCTCTGCTTCCTGAGTAGCTAGGATTACAGGTGCGAGCCACTGGCACCCCGGCTGTTCCGTGGAATCTTGAAAATATGTTAGTTACCCTTGTCTTGCTGTCCTCAGCTTTGAAGGGGAATGAGGGAGGTTATGTACATTTAGGACTAATCAACCTTGTGTTAGTCCTTCAGTGATTAACACGTCTGCATGTAGAGTTGAGCAGGAATCTGACCCAAAGTTTAAGGCAGCAGGAGACAGATGTGCTATGAAGGCAGATATGCCAAGTTTTTATCCTGCTTTTAGTCACCCATCAGGCATCTGCAGGCCTCTGTAAAGAGTCAGTGCTTTTAAGAAAAACAGCTTCTAAGTCCCTATTATAAACAGACTTCTTATTTTTAAGAAAGAGAAAACACAACTATAAATACATGTAATTTTTAAATAAGAAGAAAAATCAACCAAAAGAAATACATAGATTTGAAAAGAGAGACAGAGAGAGAGAGAGAGAGAGAGAGAGAGAGAGGGAGGAGGTGAAAACACCTACAATGCCAGAAGGAGTACTGCCTACCAGCTGTCACTTAGCTTTGAAAGGCAAATGCGAGAAAGGGTCTTTCTTGTACTAAATATAAGCAGCCTGATGACCCCGAAAAAATCTGTCACTGGCTGGACCCCATGGGAACCGAGGACCCACAAGAGCCTGTTTCCTCAAGCAGATTTGGTGGGCACTTGACAGGGGAACTGTGTGAACCTTGCCTCTTTCCTGTTCTTCAGCTGTCAAGGACTTCGTGATCGTCCCCCTGCACACACCCCCGAGACATCCGTTAAAGAGATCGATGAGCTGGCTGATGTCTACAGGGATGTGAAACGCCGATGGAAGGTGGAGGTGAGGACCTCTGTGTTTGTCACGTTCCCATCCAGCAGGGCAGAATCCAGTCCTTTCAGTAGATGGGAGAGGGGACGGGGTACATGCAGGCCACCACCACTTCACAGCCTCATCTTGGGTCTTTCTCCAGTCTCAAGCATCCTTCCTGCTAAACGTACCTGGGCCACGTTCACATGGGTCTTGGGAATCCGTGCTGTGCACCGTTTACAATGGATGCCAGTGTTTGCTGAGTGGCGAGTTGGTGTCAGGACTGTGCTGACACAAACAAGTGTGTTTATCCTTCCAATAATCCCACGTGTGGTTTCTTTAATCAGTCCCATTTTGCAACTGAGATGAATCATGGGAAGAAGGAGAAATTCTTCTTCCTGCCCCCTTCTCGGCCTCATCTTCCTCATCTGGAAAACAGGGACTCTCCCGCATTGGCTCGGAAGGGAGGTCTGAGAAAGCACCTAGCAAATATGGAAGTGCTTCAGAGGGCTCGCCTCTCCGCCCCCCCTCCAAATTCCTCTTTTCTCCTTTCGGGATGTGACTCCCACCATCCCCTTCCTTCTCCCTAGTTCCGCTGCTTGAAGTGCAGAATGAGTCAAGTGTGGACACACTTGGTCAGAGCTGGGGCACAAAAAGATGAGGGGTGTGTTTCACTGCTTGTTTATGAATAGCAGGAGAAGAGACAGATATTCATTCAAAAAATTATGAAATCATTTGTTCCGTCAACAGAAATATACTGAGCATCTATTGAGTGTCACTCCCTGGGGAGCCATCAGTGACCCAAAGTGAGCGAAGGGGAAACTTGTGATAAGGACCCTGATGAGAGGGCAAATTGGGTTTTGACTTCACCCAGTTATGTGGCCTAGAGCAGGTCACTTCGTCCCTCTATCCTGTTCTAATGGTGCCTTCTACCTCCTAGTTTTTATTGCTATGAGAAACAAATTACACTGTACCAAACACTACACGCTAGCCCTGGCACAGCAAACCCACACTCAGCAAACCCTGCCTGTATTAGCAGAAGCTGGGCATCACTCAGGTTAGGATGGCATCCTGTCTCCAGCTGCATCCATTAATCTCAGGGGAAACTCTGGTGGTAGAAGTCAAATGTCCTTGAAGAAAACCCTGAAGTCAGCAACCACCCCCAGATAGGACAAATAAGGAAATGGAATACTTCCTCTGTGTTATGGAATGCAAAACTTCTGTTCGAGAGCCCTGGGGTGGGAAGGGAGTGCTTTCCACACAGAAAGTTTCTTTTGGTGGCCTGGGGTGGGGATGGACAGCTCACCCTATGGCCCTCTTCTCCCAGGTCTCTTCCTACTTCCTCCAAGGATTGAATTTCCACAGGAATACATTTCCAAATCTCAAAACAATAGGAGAGAGAGGTGCCAAAGCTGTCAGCACACCACCCGACATTTTTCCTCTTGGAAACAGAGGCGTTGGTTCCTTCCTATGTGCACACTCTGCAGTACTTTAAGCCAGAGATAAAAGATGTAAAGGTAGCTTAGCTGCATTTCTGTATTCCCACTTATGCCTCCCTCCCATTAAGACACCCTCCTTGTAGTCACCTGCCAAGAGTCGTCAAAACTCTGACTCAGGTGTAAACAGCCGCCTCGTCTTGTACAAGGGGAATCATGACAGATCCTCTACTAGTTTGTTAGGACTGCCATACTGAAGTGCCAAAGACTGGGTCAATTAAACAATTACAAGTTCTTTCCTCACAGTTCTGGAGGCTCCAAGTCCAAGATGAATAGGTATGAACAGGGGTGGTTCCTTCTGGGGGCCTCTCTTCTTGTCTTATATATGGTCACCTTCTTCCCGGGTCTCCACGTTGTCTCCCTTGTGTCTCTCTGTGTCCTAATCTCCTTTTTTTCCCTTTTCCTTTTCCTTTTTCTTTTCCTCCCCTTCCCTCCCCTTTCCTCCCCTTCCCTCCCCATTTCCTCCCCTTCCCTCCCCTTTCCTCCCCTTCCCTTTCTTCTCTCTCTTTCTCCTCCCCCTCCCTCCTCCTTCCTTCCTTTTGTGGCGCTGGGAATAAAATCAAATCCAGGGCCTTAAGATGGAATATTGCTCTACCACTGAGCTAACCCAAGCTCCCTTCATTTTTATAAGAACAACAGTCCTATTGGATTGGTGTCTGACCTCATTTTACCTTAATTACATCTTTGAAGTCCCTAATTCCAGATACAGTCACATTCTATGGTACAAGGTGCCGGGACTGCAACCTTATGAATGGAGGGGTGGAGGGTGGGTAGGACAAGTCAGGTCATAACAGATTCCTTTGTTTATGGGCATGGGCGGTGGACACCCTGCTGGCAGTCCCGAGTGAAAGCTTATGCAGCACTGCCCACCAAGTTGACAGTTCCAAAACGTGTCTTTCAGAATTTCATTTTCATGGGTGACTTCAATGCTGGCTGCAGTTACGTCCCCAAGAAGGCCTGGAAGAACATTCGCTTGAGGACTGACCCTGGGTTTGTTTGGCTGATTGGTGACCAGGAGGACACCACGGTCAAGAAGAGCACCAACTGTGCCTATGACAGGTCGGAGGCCTCTGTAGGGGCTGCTAGCCATGCAGTGCTGGGTGGGCACTAGAAAAGTCAGACAGAGGAACTTCCAGACAGAGGAAGCACCAGGCCTCAAGAACCAAGTCAAGTCCACTAGGTTCCTGAACTAGGTACCTAGTACAGGGTGTGAACTGCAGGTCCCTGGGCACTGGACCTCGGCAGTGGCCAGCACTGGTTTTGATGTCATACAGGCCTGAACTCAAATGTTGACTATACCATTTCCTATGTCTGTGCCCAAGAGACTTAGGCTCTCTGTGTCTGCATTTCCTCACTTGTAACCTGGAGACTGCAGTAGTGCCTCACTTATTGGGGACATAAGGATTAATGAAGCCACATATATGTTAAATGTAGGTAAAGTTACTAGCACAATGCCTGCTGAATGGCAAGTGCCCGATACATCTATTGGCTGTTACCTATTCCACCACAAAGACAAACCACAGTTGATTTGCCTAGTCCCTGTGGCTGGGCACCAACGGTTTGTGGTTATAAATAAACACTGCACAAATAAGCATCCTACATATGTGTTCTGAGCAAATCTTTATGATTTCCTTAGGGTACAACTGTACAAATAAGAGCAGCTAGGCTAGGGTATTTACACTTCTACACACTCCTAAATGCAAATGCATACCTTTTTTTTATTGGTAGGATAGGGTTTGAACTCAGGACTTTGTGCTTACAAAGCAGGCACTCCTAAGCATTGTATGCACACCTCCAGCTCACTTTGCTCTGGAAATAGGGTCTCTCAAACTATTTGCCTGGGCTGGGCTTGAATAGAAATCTTCCCAATCTCAGCCTCCCAAGTATCTAGGATTATAGGTGTGCACCGTGGCGCCCAGCCTCACACATTTAAATGACAGTATTGAAGAAGCTTCACCCTCGCTCCCTCAGTGCGAAGCCTGAAGTGTGTGGACATTGCCACAGACATGGAACTCCCCAAGAAAGTCCAGTCCCACAGTGCCTCAGTTCTCTGCACTCAGCCTGCTGCTGAGGAAGTACCAGACGCCGTCTATGGAAGCACAGCCTGGCGCTCTCACTTCTCAGGCCTCAAGGTCAGGCTTTCATTTCCATGCCTGGGCCTCTTGGGACTTTTGAGCTGGGGTTTCCTTTGCAGATGTTTTTGCTCCAGACTTTGCAAGAGGAACCCAGGGTAGGAAGTGACAATAAGCACCCAGATGCCCGTCCATTCTGAAGGGCCACTCGCTCACTGGCACCTGCCAGTTGTGGGACCTCTGCCAGGTCATGTCCCTTCTCCAGCCTCATTGCTCTCCCTGGCAAATGAGCGGGGAGTGATGGGAACTAATGTTGCAGACAGAGCAGTTAATTTCAAGGAAAGATGCCAACAACAGATCAGGTGGGCTGTCAGAACAGGTTAAGAGGTTTCCTAAAAGGAACCTGATTTTACACACATGTGCCAAAGGGCGGTGGTGATACTGGCGTGTGGATCCCGAGTTCGTATCCTGGTGTAGTCGATAATTGAAGATGCCAGACCAGGAATTAAGAGTAAAGCAAGCACAAAGTTTATTGAAAGGACAGCAAAGCACCCTGATGGGTGGGACTTAGTGAAAGAGCGAGGCCAAAGAATAGCTGAAGTCTACAGGGTGATACAGCGCTCTGGCTGACTTAGGCGCCCCCGCTGTACTTGAGGTTATATCTGTAATTGGCTGTCTAATCAACTTCTTGCTGAACCCAACCCCACCACCACCATCCTTATCAAAGTGGGCATTCCAGGAAGGTCTTGTTAGTCCATCCTGTCCTTGAGGCCTGCCATACACATTTTATAACTACCCCTTGTTACCTTGGTGAGACCCACCATTCACATTTGCTTCTTATCTCTCTAGATGTTTGTCTTCAAAGATGCTTCTCTGTCTCCCTTATCTAGGAGGCCTGCCATACACATTTTATAACTACCCCTTGTTACCTTGGTGAGACCCACCATTCACATTTGCTTCTTATCTCTCTAGATGTTTGTCTTCAAAGATGCTTCTCTGTCTCCCTTATCTAGGAGACATTGTCTGGATGAGAAGCCCACTCCTCACTTCTCCTTATGCTTTTAAGGATGTCTTCTGTCCCTTTTGTTAAGACAAAACAAATATTTGTTCCCTTTACAGTCCCAGAGTCACTTCTGGCATTTGCTTCTCTCACAGTGGAATTTCATGTGATTTTTGGGTGGGACTAGGGTTTGAACTCAGGGCTTTGTGCTTGCAAAGCAAATGCTCTACTGTTTGAACCAGGCTTCTAGTCCACTTTGCTCTGGTTATTTTGGAGATGGAGGTCTCATAAACTATTTGCCCAGACTGGCCTTGAATCTCAATCCTCCTGATCTCAACCTCCCAGGTGTGAGCCCGGCTCATGTGATTTTTTTTTTTTTTTTTAAAGATTTGTTTCTAATTTCGTTCCTCTAAATTTTTTGGTTTCCATAACAACATGTATAACTAGTATGGTTTACAAATGATGTTTTAAAAATGAACTTAGACAAGATGTTCTCAATTCTAGTTTTTGTGGAACCACTTCCTCTGTGCCGAGAGCTGGTAGACAGGCAAAGATTCCCAAGACCTGGCCTGTGTCTGGGCCCAGTTTGGGAAAACTTAACCCAAACAGCTGATCTGGGCATATCCCTAGGAGAGGTCTGAAACAGAGAAACTTTACCTGTGTTGCTGTTTATTCTTTAAGTCTTGAAAATGGCCTTCATGGATCTCCAACCAAAAGAGAAGAGTTTACACTTGCTTGAGTAAACAGCAAACCATGATGAGAATGGTGTTAACAAACTCAGTCAGGACTAGGAAAGCTGAGTGAAGAGACAGCAAGACAGCTTCTATTCCTCAGACAGCGGGTCAGGACCACATAGACTCCCTGCTTTACCCCACTGAGGATGCATTCAAGTCCATTTCCAAAACTCACTAGCTACCTCATTCTCATGTGTCGTCATCACTGCCAAGCACCTGTACTGTGGTTTTTCTCTATATTTTTCTTTAAATCCATTAAGTTCTTAGTGAAAGATACTAATTTTAAAGGAAACATAATACTACATAAGTAAGAAAACAGCACCATCTGTCATAAGCTAACTAAAAAGACCTCCAAGGTCTTCTCTCCCTTTGTCAAGATGGGGGCTTTAGAAGGTATCAAAGACAGTCTAGCATCTACCCAAGAGTTTCTCTGCAGTGTAATCAGGAAGAGTAAAAAAGAATTGAAAGAGGACCAGTATCCTCAGTATGCAAGCCATCACCGCATGGTATAGCGTCCATGTGTAAAATTGCTATTACTCCACCAGGACACCTATCCACTCCACAAGACAGTGCCCTGTGCCCACAGGACCATGACACTCAGTCTACTTTGCAGCTATAAAGGCACTGCCCTCTAAGGTCACAAGCTAAAACCATGTGTGGACTTGGAGGCTGCTGTCAGTTCCAGACATCAAACACACTCTTGGTTTGGCCTTGGTAATCGACAGCACGGACTAACATGTCGGTCTCTTTCCCTTGCTCAGGATTGTGCTTCGAGGACAAGAGATCATGGACTCTGTAGTTCCCAAGTCAAATGGTGTCTTTGACTTCCAGAAAGCTTACGAGTTGTCTGAAGAGGAGGTAAGGTGGCCATTTTGTCTTTCTGTGCTACCATCCTGGAAAGATGGGCTGGCGTCACCCTCTGAGGTCACCACTGAAGATACCACATTCAGCCATTGGATCTTGAGTTTCAGTATCTATGATTCTGCGATTTGAGGACCCGCAGAAACTTCTGATTGAGTTGGACTAAGGACAATTCTTCCTGGTTCTGCTAGGTGACTTCAGGCATTTCATTTTTCCTCTCTGCTCTTGAATTTGCTCATCCCTAAAATGACAGCATGTCCCAGGCATCTCCTAAAGCCCAATTTACCTCCCTTTTCTCCTTTTTAGGCCCTGGAAGTCAGTGACCACTTTCCAGTTGAATTTAAACTACAGTCTTCAAGAGCCTTCACCAATAGCAAGAAATCTGTTACTTTGAGGAAGAGAAAAAAAGGCAATCACTCCTAGACACAAGGGCGCCATTTTCCTAACCATTTCTGGTCTCTAAACAAAATGGCGGTAACAGGTATGAACTGCCCCTTGCACACTCAGGAAATAAGACTGGTCCAGCTGCTTTCATTTTCCACTTCAGTTAATTTTGCCTTGAGCCAAATTAGAAGAATCTTCTGTTGTCCCTCCCTGGCCTTCACATCGAGAGCTGGAGCCCTAGCCACCATCAATGATCTCCACTCAATCCTGCCACAATGAGCTGCTAAGGAGGACAAATATCAATGTCAGCCTTATTAGGGGGATCCTGTTCTGGGGAAATGGGCAGAAACACCAAGATCCAGCTGCACCCCCATGACTTGGGCAATTCACTGTTTGAAGACCTGGCCCCTCCTGCCTGGGGTCAGTCCAAGGCATCTCACAGGAATGAAGGATGGAGACCACTCCGAGCCTGTCTGTCTGCCTTCGAATTGTTCTTCAACTCAACCAGCCTGGTACACTACTCCTATGAATCTGGTACCATGGTACCATTTTTGCCTTTATCTAAGGTGCCCAGTTTTGTGAGTTTTGCTTTGTTTTTCGTGAAACTCTTTCTTCATTCAAGTTGCACACAAATGTGGATAAATGTGTATGAAATACCAAAGAAGCAGCAGCAAAAAAGGAAGGCCTCTCCCCAGCCCCACCCCTGATTTCCTGTCTCAGAAGCAGCCCTCTGCCCAAATTTTGTGCTCTTCCAGAGGGCATATATGCATAAGTGAGCATAATGTATAAATACAAAGTGTGGCATACCATTTGCACAGCTCCATGGCTTTCTGTTTTTCCCTTGATTATTCTCATGATTGTGACACAAGAGAGACCATTAGTCAGCTTCCCGTCATTGTGACAAATACCTGTGATAATCAACTTAAAAGGAGGAAAGGTTTATGTTGGCTCATGGTTTCAGAGGATTTTGTTCATTGCTTTTGAGCCTGTGGTGAAGCAGAATGTCCTGGTAGAGAACATGTGGTGGAGCAAATCCTGCTCATCTCACTGGACCTGGAAGCAGAGAGAGACAGGAAGGGGCAAGGGTTCTGGTATCCCCTTGTAGGGAATGCCCCTGATGTCAGAACTTCCTTTAACTAGGTCCCATCTCTGAAAGATTTCATGATCTCCCACTAGCGCCATGGGTGGAGGACCAAGTCTAACTCATGGGTATTTGGGGATACTCCAGATCCAAAGTATAACAGCCTGAAATCTGAAATTATGTAACATTATGACTGAGGGAGTAAAATCCAAAGGACCCAGATTAAGCTGGGGAAAAACATCGTCCCCAAACATCCAATTCACCTCTGAGATTTTCTTGAGATTTCTGTTGTCCAATTCATCTCTGAGATTTTAGGGTGAGATGGCAAACCTGATAAAACTTCTGACATACACACCCCCCCATCCACCCTCCGAGGCAGGACTCACTATCCCAGGAAAGCTTCCAGGCTCCAAGGCCCAAAATGGACAAGTGACCAATTCACAAATGAGCTAATCCTAGAGGGAGGAACTCATTCTTTTGCCCCCAAGCAATAAAAGTTGGACTGGCCAATGTGGTTGGGACAAAAGTACTGACCTCCAGGCTCGGGACTCTGCAAATAGGGAGGCAAAGAGGAAGTGGATAGGTACTAAATAACCCTGTCTGTGGCTCTCACTTGGGGTCAGTGAGTCCTGTTGCCCTGCGGCTTCTTCCTGGACAAGACCTGCCTCTGTTCCTGCCCTCCAGCAGGTTACAGAGCCATAAGTGTTTGTCTGCCTGCTGTCATTCTAGCAAATTCTGCCAGGCAATAGGGCACAAAATAGGCTTCTCCTTGATGTAGCCAAAAACCTCCCATACATCTGGGTTGCCTGGCCTGGCTCAGGCTAGGAACTTTGGTGGTTTTCGGGAAAGGGTCCTGTTTGCCTTTTCAGCTTTGACTTTGTCCAGAGCATCTGAACCCTGGGGAAAATAAGAATCACGTGCTGATTCTCAGGCTCCAGATACCCAGAGTCTGTCTCAGGAGAGCTGGGTGGGTGTTTACAAACCACCACCATCAATATCTCCTCGCGCCTATTAGAACACCCATCTCGCATGGCTACCTGTCATCACGGCCTCCCTCCAATCTTTACTCCAGATGCACAGGTAACAGCTAAACTGTGACACAGTAATAAATCATTCACCCAGTCTCACGTGATTAAGAATCATGGCAATGGGTTTTGGAACCCCAATGCCCTTGCCCAGGTGTGCTCAAGGCAGGTGATCTGAGAGCCAGATTTTGAAATCACTCTCCGAGCACTCTGTAGTAGAAAAGAGGTCATAGGGCTAGTTTAGAGCCATATTCTGCACCACCTACTAGCTTTTATTAATAAAAATTTAAATAATTTTTATTAAACTTATTATCATATTATTGTTGTAGTGGGGGTACATTGTGACATTTTCAAAAATTCTTACAACATATCATAGTTGAAGTCACCCCCTCCATCATTCTCCTATACTCCCCTCCCCCCATTCCTGGAATATTTTCAACATAGCTGTGGAGTCTTGAGCAGGTGGATTACTTACCTTCAGTGTCAGATGGGACCAATAAGAGAATCTGTCTCACTTACCTTCAGTGTCAGATGGGACCAATAAGAGAATCTGTCTCACAAGTACAGTTTAAATCAGATGATGGATAGCAAGCACTGAGTGTGGATCTGATACCTAGTAAGCCATCAGACTTGCTCGGTTATGGGTAGGCAGCTTTAAGCCTGTGGGCACACATTACTCATTTAATTATTTAGAACGAGCATTTGTCCCAAGGCCCCATTGTTTTGTCATTCACCACAGCAGGTGTTTTGACAAATAGGCCTTGAGAAATAAAGGATGCCCCTACTTCCAGTCTTCTTTGTTGCTGCTGCTTTGTCAACACCCCCTTTCCTGCCTCAAACACAGTGACCTTCACCCTGTCCCTGCTGAGGGTGGGGCATGAAGGGAGCTTCTCCAGTTTAGCAACCCCAGCTTGTTTCTTTACCTCGGTCTGGAAAAGACAAGTGTAAAAGGCAGTTGCCAAACCAGGAAAGGGCAAAAACTGGAGGCTTCCTTCCTTGTCCCTTCCTGAATGAGGAAAGGCGCCAGGCCTAGGGATGTGGGTGGGTGGAAACTAGCTACTGAGAGAGGCTCACACCTGTATCAGCTGCCAAGTCTCCTGATCATGATCCCAAAGGTGCCAGCATTCCTCAGTAATCCCCCAAGTCTCCCTGAGTGATCTTGAAGGAGCCAGCGTTCCTATGTCACTTATCCAGAAGTCACATTTTGAATGAGAAGTGGGTCATCATGATCCCACAGGACACTGGCAGGTGTGTATTCAGGTTTTATGATTCAGGGAAGCCAATGCAATTAAGGGAATATTAAGAAGCAAGTATCTACGCATGTAAACAGGCATCCATGTGCACATGCGCACCCCTTTCCCCAGGACCCCCTTGCCTGGCTCCTATTCACCAGCCTGCTCAGCTTCAGGCTGGTTGATACAAAGTCACGTTCCTGCGTCATGTGAGTTCTCTGATGGCAGGATGGAGGATGTGTTCATTTGCAAATGGTCCTGCTGCCGCTCTATTCTCTAGGACAACACTTTATTTCCCCCATCAAATATCCTGGGAGCTTTGTTTTATTTTTCTGAGTTATTTGCTCTGAGATTCTTGTTCTGAGATCTGTCATCAATTCATAGAGGTCAGAGTGGAAAGTAGTCTTAATGACAAAAATAACAAATTAAGAGCTGCCTTTTACAAGGCATGTTCTGTTCCAGGCTGTGTTAAAAAGGCATAGCCAGGCACTGGTGGCTCATGTCTGTAATCCTAGCTACTCAGGAGGCAGAGATCAGGAGGATCATGGTTCGAAGCCAGCCTGGGCAAATAGTTCTAGCAACTCTATCTCGAAAATACCCAATACCAAGATAGGGCTGGTGGAGTGGCTCAAGTGGTAGAATGTCTGCCTAGGAAGTGTGAGGCCCTGAGTTCAAACTCCAATACTGCAAAATAAATAATTAATAAATTAAAAGGCATGGCCTATACTATCTCACTGAATTCCAACCACAGCACTAAGAGGTAGTGTTTGCTGGCAAATTTTTTTTGTGTGTGGTACTGGGATTTGAACTCAGGGCTTCATATTTGCTAGGCATGTTCTCTACTGCTTAAGCCAGGCCTCCAATCCTTTTTGCTCTGGTTATTTTGGAGATGGGACTCGCTTTTTTTATCCAGGCCAGTGTGGACCACAATCTTCCTATTTTATACTTCCCACTGTAGCTGGGATGACAAGCATGCCCCACCGTGTCACTTTGTTCTGTTGAGATGGGGTCTTGCAAACTTTTTTCCCTGTGTTAGCCTGGAACTGCAATCCTCCTGATTTCAGCTTCCCTAGTAGCTAGGATTACAGGCATAAGCCACCGGCACCCAGCAGATGTCATCCACATTCTATGGTTAAGGAAAATAAGGCAGGGAGAAGTTAAACAACTTCCCTAAGGTCACACAGCAAGAGAGTTGTGAAGCCCAGGGCTGACTCACCCATTAAGCATGGTAAGCCTAGGATCACAGTAATTTCAGAGGTCACAGAAATGATAAACTTCTAATTGAAGAAAAATTTTAACATGCAATATCAATATTTTTCTTATACCAACATAGTTACATAATAAAAATTTTTAATATTCTTGATGGAGGAAGGAACCTGTGAATGGAAAAGTACCTAGGGTCCACAAAAGTCTTAACAGGATGCTGGGGGAGCCATAATTCAAATCCAGGTCTGCCTGCCTCCAAAGTTCATATTCTCACAAGCCTAGTCTAATCCCATTTTACAGGTGATGAGGAAATTCAGGTCCAAGGCCGTGTACCAAAGAAGTGGCAGAACTACAGAGAATGATTTCTTGTGGCCCAATCATTACAGTGTGTGGTCTGATAGCACTCCCTAGTGGCCTTTTAGGGGAACTTTCCCTTAGTCACTTCACTCTGTGCAGATGGGACACATTTCAAAGGTATGGCTCAAGCAGCTGCCC